CTATCTCTGGGGGTGTTTTAACGACCTCCCCCTTCTCAGAGACATAAACAAGGTACATACCCTCCTCTTGGTTTTGCTTATAGTAGTTGTAGAACACTGATGCGCACAAGCAGCCATAGGTATCTATTATACTACTGGCCTTGAACTTAGTCAACCTGACAGTTCGGCCATCGGGCAACTTATGCTTAAGCACCTTCTTATCCCAGTCGAACTGGGGCTTAGCAACTTCGAGGTAGTACATGCCTAACAACATATCGAATGGCAAGTCGTCGCTAACCAAGAACGAGATCTTATGATTAAGCTCACCTCCTCCATAGGAGAAGGTACAGACTACGTCCTTGATGTAGTCCGTCACTATCATGCGCTCCTTATTGGCCAAAGTAGATGCTACTGGTCTACTAAGGTGTCGTACCCGGTCCTGTAGGTGCAGCTTTTCCAAACAGTCGCGACTTATATAATTCCGTGTGGATCCGATGTCTATGAAGGCACCACATTTGCGGCCTCCTACATCCACTTCCACCATGAAATGTTCCCCTCTAGGACCCTTCTTCAACGCCACCCAAGACTCGCGAGGGTCCTTGTTTGACCTTTCGCCTTCTAAGTCTTCTAAGGCTTCAGACACATCTAACGTACAGAGCATAGTTTGGTCTAGATGCGTCTGCGGGGTGACTAAGGAGTCATTAGCTTCGGCCTTGTCATGAAGTGAGGAGGGTATCATGCCCACTTCATCTTGAGTAGAAGTCGCTACTACTTCCACTGGCCCTACGCGTTTCCCGAGCTAGAAGCCTAGGAAGAAGATGCCCCCACCTCAGGAGGTATCTTCTGAGTGACCTTAGCGTTCTGGCACTTGTACTGGGTGTGTCCGTATTCACCGCAGTTGATACAAGCACCACGCGTTCGGTGGTCACGCCACACGTCTTGATCAAGACCTGCCTTAACCCAGTCAGCCTGCTTGGTCTGATTGGAGGCGGCCTTCCCTTGACCCCTAGGCTGGCCCTTCCCTCGGCCTGCCGCCTTAGTCTTTGCTACCGTGGCGAGAGTGCTACCCTCAGCTATCTCCTCGCCATCAAACTCTGTGTAGTCCATCAGGTCAGAGAGCTCGTCGATCTCCGTTTGAGTCCCATCAGACTCAACCATCATCAACTTCGCCCCCTTCTTCTTCCACTCCTGAGGACTCTTCTTCTTCTTTGAGTCATTCCCTGAGGTGGGTTGAGCATTGCCTAGCGTGGCCTCTAAGTCTAAGGCTTTCCTAGACAATGTCTCAAACGAGTGGTACTCGGTGCATGCCTCACTGGCCAGCAAGTTCCTGATGTTCTCTGGCAAACATCTAACAAACGTTGTTAACAGGAATTGGTCACTGTAGTTGATGCCTGGGACGAGGATCAGGCTCTCAACAGTAGTCGTAAGCTCTCTAACTGACCTGAACTTTCGTTGGTCTAGTTTGTTAATAGCATCAGTGGCCTTTTGTGCCTCCTGTGGATTATGCCATCGAGCTTCTACCATCTCCATGAACTGGTCTAATGTCAGAGACTTTCGCCATGCGTCTCCCATACTCGGCCTTTATAACTACACCATCTAAGCACTTGGCTGCCTTACCCTCCAGGTAAGATGCCGCAGTTACCACTTCGTCCTCTAGCAAGGTTCTCTTGGCCTTCACCCAAACTGGGACTGTTCTCAA